CCAGGGTGTAAACAGCGTGAAAAAGCAAGTTGGCGATGTCATCTGACGTGGAACCAAGCTGTGATAGCTCGTGAACTTATCAGTGACAAGTTCAATGATGATTGCAGCTGCTATCTGAGCACGGAAGCATCGCTTTTTGTTTTTGATCCGCCGGTGCGTGAAGCATCTGACATGCATCGAATTAATTTCCTCGTTGCTCAATATTCTAAGACCCGACGACTAACACGCTGTATGCAGCTGACCAAACTGAACAGTTCTCACGTTGTTGTCACTTCGTAGAAGAAAGCGCGCGCTACATCCGCCTGCTGGGAAAGGTGGGATTTTTGAAAAAGAGTAGCCCTTTACGTCACATACATAGGGTGGCCTGCGTTTTCAAGTGCGATTCCAAAATCAGCTACCAATTTTAAAACTTTTTTTCTAAAAAAACAAAATGACTTACGGTTGTACAATTTGGCACATATCACCGCAGAACTGACGAGAACACATGTTCAAAGTTTTATTGAAAAAACGCCGGAGTTTCCACTTAACAGCGGCCTCTAGTTTTTATTTACTATATATATAGTAAATAAAAACAAGAGGCCGCTGTTAAATGGAAACTCTGGCGTTTTTTCAATATATATATATATATATATATATATATATATATATATATATATATATATGAGGAAGGATGCGCTATTCTCTTTCTGCGGAGCAAACCTCACCTTTTTGGCCGGAGTCGTCTGCGCATGCTTATCTTGTGAGAGAACATTGGGGGGGGGGGGGGGGCGCACGATTAGCGTGCGGCTCTTGCCACCACAGCAGACGGAAGCTTCTACGGACTGCGCTCTCAACACTAAAAAAAAACGGTGCCAAAAGTGTACCTCGAACGGCCGACATAAACTGCCACCAGTGGCAACAAACGACATATAGCCTTTAGTACCGGCATGCGCTGCCCACGAGAGACGCTTTTCATCAATGCCGTCACTACGTACGAGCCTTGTTGTGGTCATCTACTGTGGCTGCGCCGCAGGAAACTTGGTTACTTAGCAAGCGCATGTTTACTACAAATATTGCTCCTAAAAATGTTAGACTTGCCCCGTAATATGTTCGATTGTGTTGCTATCGCATTCATTGCTTCGCCCTTTTGGCGAAACTGAGTTTTTTGTAAGCATTTCGACCGCCCCATCGATGCGAAAATTCTTTTTCTGTTTCTCATTCTTCTGCCTTTTCAGAGGTTCCAGAAATGCACGCTGTTCTGTGCAAAAGCTACTACTGTTCTCAATTCTTTTACAATGAGCACATTACATATGCCACCCGCTACATTTACGCCATCACGAATGATGCGCTAAGAAATGTGCAACAATGTTAATTTTAAGAAAGGAAATTAAAAGATTTTAAAGGATTTGGGAAATTCCAACACTTCCAAAGCCTTAAAAACGAACTTTTTGAATTCAAGAATTTTCAAGGATTTAAGGGCACCCATGAACCCTGCTCAGAAGAACAGTCACTTCAGCAAACTGCTTATTTGTAGCAAGACTGCAAATTTAGTGCTGCTGACTTATTAACGAAGATAGGCAGTAACTGCCACCACAAGTTATCCAGAAAGTACAGAAACCACTTAATAGTTACATGTGGTACCCCTCCTTCCCCTCCCCTACTATGAAAAAAAACAAACAGAAATGCATTTGCCACCTCACCTATGCATGCTTACGTACCAAATGAATTTTATAAATTTGCATTTTTTGGAAGGTTCTGAAGTTGCATGCATAGTTTCTAAAACATTAAAATTTTTGTATCATAATTCTACTTTGATACAATCAAAGAGCATAGGGTCAGTAACCTACTTATGTTTACAATACCTCTGGCAAACTAGAGCCTATAGGAAACAAAGACAATATTATGTAAACAAAGAAAAAAGCCATAAACACAGTGGTCTGAAATGTGAGTTTCGGTACTGGTTTATCACGATATGTGGGGAGAAATTCAATTTCGACCCGACAGTAATAAATTACCCGGGAAAGCACTTTGTTTATATGATAACAGTACAAAAATGGCAAAAAAACAAGTATTTCATAACTTTCATACAGAATAATTGTTGGGGTTTAACGTCCTAAAACCACCCTATGATTATGAGAGACGGCACAGTGAAGGGCTCCGGAAATTTCGACCTCCTGGGGTTCTTCAACGTGCACTCAAATCTGAGCATATGGGCCTATATTTTCGCCTCTATCGAAAATGCGGCCACATTGGCAGAGTGCCTTAGCCACCAATACACCATGCGGGAGTTCTGATAATTCTAGAAGTATTATATAAGGAAGCCATTTACAAGACCAATTTTCCTTAAAAAAAAGTCATTTTATGGAATCAACACAAACAAACGTTACATTAGGTGGTGGCAAGCATACATGGCCTAGAGAATGCTTTAGTGTGTTTATCCTCAGCTAAATAGCCATAATACCTAATGATGCTTAATGTTAGAAGGGCCAAAGAACCATCATACTTCAGATCTAATGTGAACACTCGTATGAAATTAGATTTGCATGGAAAATCAGTTCAGAACGATTTATTCCAGACTAGCTGGGTGCCTTGACCCATAGTTTGGATGGATGCCGACACCTTATGGCAGCTGTAGTTTTTATTGAGATTTATTTAGATATTCTCAACAGAAATACTTATAAAATATACATCCTAAGTATTGTGAAAAATAAAAAGCACAGCAACAATTATTTGAGCTGGTTGATTCTGGCCAATGGCACATTTTGTGATAAAGTGTACACAGAGTGCACATGTCCGTACCCTTGTCCTCATCATGTTTGAACAGTTCTGTAAACTCAATCAAATTCAAGTCTGGTCCAGTGGATTGAATTTAGGGGGTGTTTCATGCACATACAAACAGTGCAGCTAACAAACTTATCACGGCCAAAAACGAAGTGTCAATGGATGCTTTGCATTAAGCCGGCAAAAATGCAGTTTGCAGAGTCATGTGCATATATACACAACAGAACATACAACTGTCACTCGATCATCCTTGGCGCTTCATCGGCGACAAAAGGAACACTGTCTAGAAGAAAAAGCGCATACAATAAAACTAACGACCAACACAACAATTCGTTTCTGCAATCAGCACGGGCAAACCAATTCAGTATTGTACGAGAAAAAGGCTAGACGGTCGAATTCTATTGCAGCCATTCACAAATTAAGTTTCAAAAGCACTAGACAGATGCGCGACAATTTTCGTCGTTGACGTCGCTTTAGGGGGCGTTCGTCCCCGCTGGCGTGACGCTCGGCCGACTGGCCGCACCATCGGTTATGAGCGACACGATGTGTTTACGGCTACCAACCGACAAGATAAACGTAATCGCGCTACAATCCAGACCCCAAGGCAACCAACCTCCACGCGGGTGTCCTCGAAGCATCGACAAGCAAAAGTTGGAAACTACAGCGGTCCATCAACAATGTTTATCAACGGAACCCTGGGCCGTAACGAGAGCACTGCAACATCCAGCTGTCAAGCACACCTTCAAATATACGCGTGCAAAGTTCGGAATTGATTGAAGACCGCCCGCAGGACGTTGCGGCAGCGAGCAGACGGTGAAAACCTGCAGACCGTGGGCGGGCGCTTCAAACAGGTTTTCCGAGCCTTCAGAGCAAGCGAACTTGTTTCGTCGTCTTTTCAACAAAACGACAACTAAAGTGAGGAAGGCATCGACGTAGTATACATACATAACCGTTATATACACATGCTTACAGACAGCACACTCGAGTGGAAAAGCAAGAGAACTCCCAAACGTGGAGACGGATAAGATTTGCTGCCACTTGTGAACACAATCGAAAGTTGGAATAATGAGCGTAAGTACACAAAACGAAGGCTCAGTACTGCACCGGCAATCTCCGATATTTCGCTCCTCGCGTGTTGTGTGAAAACAACTTGCCCCGCATTAAACACGGCTTTAAACATGCGAGCAACTTGGTAAAGGCAAATAAACAAGCAAAAAAATGTGTAAACGTCGCTCCAAGGGCGTAACACATCCTTCGAACGCCGGCTTTCCAAATCGCGTACTGCCTGCTAGCCCACTTTCGCGATATTGCCGACGCAGGACATGGTTAAGGTCACTTTTCAATTAACTATACAAGTATACCACACAATAAAAAAGATAATCGCTTTGAGCAAAACTTACTCAGTAGACTCCGAGAATTCGATATTCAACGGCTCTCGCTGAGCAGAACTCATTTTTGATCAGACGTTGAAAGCACGATATCCGGCACTTGTGCTTAATGAAAGGAACGCAATACTAAAAATTTTGAAGCGGGTCCAGCGGCGGAACTCATAGCTCCCGCGTCATGCTCGAATGTAAACAGACCGCATCAACCGGCACCGACGCACAGACCATGCACGCAGAGAACACCGTGCGCAGACGCTTGGCCGAACCGCCGAACTACGCACGATTAGTCCGCGTCAAAATCTCTCGCACATTATGCACACTTAAAAGAAAAGGTCAATACAACAAGCATAATAAGATTACTTACTAATTAGCTAGATTCTGACGTACTATTTTTGAATTAGCAGAACATGAAGAATAAGTTTCACGACTATGCTACGTAGACTATTTTCTGTTGCGGAAGACAAGCCTAACCAGTCACTTCTCTATGAACCAACAAAACTAAATGGCTAAATGTTCTGCTAAAGAAGTACTTAATCAATTAACAATTTACAAGACATTTATGTTTAATATTGCGTTTTTTGTTTGTTCATAATATGTTTTTGTTTCAGCCAGTTTAGCCGTGCGATGGCGGCACCAGCGCTATGTCGTCTGTTTCACAATGGCGGCTAAAGTTTACATATGTAAAGGTAGCTTAGATTGAAATGTTTGTTTCAAACTTGTTAAGCGAACTTTTAATGTTGCACGTGTTCCTACTAGTGGCGTTCAAAGCGTAGTTATCAATTTATGTCAAAATGGTGACCAGAAGCCTCACAGAAGCGTTTGTGCTGATGCGTAACAATGCCCTTCAAAGCAAGCATATCTTCGGAGATCATGTAAGTCGACACTGTTGAAGTGCGTCGAGAAAGACAGATATACAATCTTCTCTTCGGTGGGCGTGGCATCACTTTCGAGCGCAATAGCTGTAACCAGCATTAAGGCTTCAGTACGACTGACATGATTGTTGTGTAACTTGTGCAGGTTCATGAAGACACCGTGGCACTAGTTGGACGGGATGTTGAAACTGGCATGGGCATTTATAAAGACGTCGCTGAACCTCCTCGATGGTAAGACGCATTACACTTGCAGGTAGCTATGCCATCTTTCTTTACTACATTATTTTTTAATATGTCATCATCTGCCGTTGTTTGTCCTTTTTTCTTTGATGTTTTCTCTGACTAGGATTGACGCCTTAGAAGAGGTGAGTCGTTATTACTCACTGTGATTTACAGTGCTTGCTTATATACTTACTTTGTGTCTTCTCCACGCCTGTTTTCTTTGCGCACAGGTAAACTATCAGATGACGAAGATCAGGGACAAATGTAAGTTCTCATAAATTGAGGTAATTACATTTTTGGGATGATGGTACGTTGCTTTTACTGCGCCAAACGTTTAGTGTGGGGCATTTTTTTATATAGGAAACCTCATTTATTTCCTCATTTTGTGTTTCCGGTGGTTTTTCACATGTTGTGTATTGTAATGACACTAAAACGCATGCTGATGTGTGTCAACTGAATATTACTGACATATGTCCTGAAATGGGGTTGCTGTGTATGAATGCAGGAAAACCACCCTAAGTGAATTTACTAGCAGGCATTGCTGTACATGCATCCCGGCTGTGGCGGCTACCTTTCCGATGGAGGCGGAAATGTCGTAGGCCCATGTGCTCAGATTTGGGTGCACATTAAAGAAACCCAGGTGGTCAAAATTTCCGGAGCCCTCCACTACGGCGTCTCTGATAATCATATGGTGGTTTTGGGACGTTAAACCCCACAAATCAATCAATCCATTGCTGTACATGCAGGACGGCACCTTCGAGAGGTCAGAAGTGTTACTTCTGATCCCTCGAAGGGGTCACAAGCACAATGTGTCAGTAACATGACAAGTCAAACTGTTTGCAGGCTACATTATGTCTGTGGGCTATTTTGTGCAACTCATGTAAATGCATCAATTAGAGTTACATGTGTTACTGATAATGTGATGTGCATTCTGTTGTATAGTTTTTATATTTAGCCATGTGTATACCATCTGATGTGTGTACCTTGCCACATCTTGAACTAGTCTGTAGGTAATTATTTAAATTTTTTAGAATATTTTTTAAAATAAATGTAAACAGCTCTACAAAGCTTGTCACTTGCACCTGGTGCTTGACCTGGTTTCTTCACTGCACTGCTGCAAATTTTCCTATAATTGTAAAATTCATGCTGGAAAAACTACAGGACAAGGTTTTTGTCGTGTCAGCATGGAATCTGCAGGCCTGTCAAGTTTTGTTTCCTGAAGTATGTCCTTGAGCTGTAGTTTCGTTGTCATAGACTGACGGAGATCTAATCTCACTGCTGTACTGTGAAGTTTCTGGGCTCACTCCCACCGCTGCTAAGTCAACTGCACCACTATAGTCCCTCAATACTATGAGGGACTATGGTGATACAGTCGCTTGTACTTTGCTGTTGAAGGTAAATTGAAGGACTGTCATACCACATAGCAGCCTGTTTATAGTGTAGTATTGCCTTAATTTTAAAGAGTCTGCCTAAAACAACAGATCTAGATTTTACTAAAAACTTTCCTGAAGGCACCTAATATCTTTGTGCCTAAGTAGATACTATGGGGGCTCTTATCCGTAAGTTGTGTTTATTTTTTTGCTCACTCATTATTTACATAATTTATTTATCAATGTATTTTTGTGTCTGGGAATGACCATGTTTAATAATGTAGGTTTTCCCCCATTTACTGCTTTCACACTCCCTCATTGAAGCTAAAGAACTTATAAAAAAGTTTTTGCTGCAAGGCACTAGCATTTGCGCAGATGTCAGAATAAGACAAGTTTAACAGTAAAAGTTACAAATAAAGTTTAAGATAAGTTCTTATAGTATGCTTTAAATGGTTTCTTCTTCACATTCATTCATGCTGTAGCCATCAAGCAATAATTGATGTCATTTAGTCATTAGCCAAATCTGTGTAGGTCGCATACCTTGTCACATTTTCAAATAGTGCAGCATAAGTAGAGACTGCTCTAAGCAGCCATTTAAGAATTGTCAATTCACGTCATCACACATATTCATAACTTGCAGATGGCGGGAGCAGCTGCAGTGATTTACACCGTGGCTACTTTTCTACTTTTTTTGTGTGTGTTTATTTCATATTGACAACTATAATTACTTCTAAGAAATTTATAACTATGTTCTGAGTTTCAAACCTGCTTCTCAGTTTTTATGAAATATGAAGCAAGATTGGCTGGACAAGCCTATTGTGTTTCACCCTTGTTATTTTTCCCACTTCACTGCATTAGTGTTCTGCCCCGCCACGGTGGTCTAGTGGCTAAGGTACTCGGCTACTGACCCGCAGGTCGCGGGTTTTTATCCCGGCTGCGGCGGCTGCATTTCCGATGGAGGCGGGAATGTTGTAGGCCCATGTGCTCAGATTTGGGTGCACGTTAAAGAACCGCAGGTGGTCGGAATTTCCGGAGCCCTCCACTATGGCGTCTCTCATAATCATATGGTGGTTTTGGGATGTTAAACCCCACATATCAAATCAATGCATTAGTGTTCTTGTTTTTTTTTGTTTTTTTTAAAATAAGTACATGAAGGAATTTATTTTTAAAAAAAAGATGTCTGTCTCAGTTATTCATGAATTCTGCGGTGGCTGCAAATGTAGTGTGCTCTTATTTATAATTATCTTTGCTGTTGATGTCAATATTTTAACACCAGTAGCCTTGGAACTGACCTGTTTCATAAACAAAACTTACAGGTCACGTCAGGTTTTTTAAGCCAAAGTGCCCATATCTACCAATCTTTAACCTATACTCTTTACATGCTAGTGTCTGGTTACAATTGTACTGTCTGAGTGATGAATACCGCCTTTGGTAGCTTCCGATTCTTGTGCAATTCATTTGCTTTCTTTTAAACTTGAGTGGATTTTTGTGCTTGTAGGCAGCATCTAAAAAAGTGTAGCACTGCACACTTTTTTAGATGCTACTCGCAATTAGACTAGTACAGTTTATAGGACTTTTTTTTGCAGTTTCTATATGCTTTAGCATGAAGCATAATATACACATGATAACTTTTTATGGCATTTTCTGCTAAGCAGTTCAATGTCATGGGTTTGACCTTCAATCTCTCAGCCTCATTTTAATAAGGCAAGAATGCAGGAAAAATTGTATTCAGCATTTGATATGCTGGGAAGAACCCCAACTGATCATGATTCGTCTGTAGCTCTAAGCTATAGCATTTCTTTTGTGTACACATTTCTTTCATATGCTAAAAACTGTGATTTCTGATTTGTTGCACTGCAGATGACGAGACAAGGACCATACAGGGACTACAGGACAGGTGATGTGCTAATGTCCTGTGCACCACCTGTCCTGTAGTGTCTGTATCGTTCTCGTCTTGTCATCTGCAGCACAAGAAGGAATTGTGAAGCATCACCAACTAGCGCAATTCATCGCTCTGGTTGACACCGAATCAGTTACTCATTGCATAAATTTTTTCAACACCATAAGTGATGGTAAAACTGTGACTGGACCATATGACATCATGCCTATAGCAATCTTCATGCTCAAACGAAGGATTGAGGAGAACTCTCGCCGACATACAGACCCCAAAAACACTGACAGCTTCGTTAAGAGTACTGACGTGAATTTTAAATATTTTCAGGTTATTGCTCTAAATAAGAACACTAATGTCGAGAGCCCTGAATAGAGTAATGTAATGCCTGGGAATGCATCGAGTTTATTTCAAAATACTGCTACCTTAGAAGTACACTTTTGGTATCAAGATATGGCTTTTCAGTGATGTTTCATGGCAGTGTGTTGTCATGGGCTGAAAGCAACTCTCGATGTACTAGCGAAAGATCTATCATCTGCTCGAGGCGTGCGCTTAAACAATGATAAGTGAACCGTCTTCCAGTGACCCCGACAGGCATTTTTGCGAATTTTTCTGCTTGCAGGATACAAAATTCGCAAACTCAGTGGAACTATCCAGACTCATAGGGATAATGTACATTGCAGTGGGGCAGGCTAGCTGATTCTCAGTGATGAAAAATTTTAAATCAAAGTAAAATATTTCATACGTGTTGTTTGACTGTGGCATGTGGAGAGCGTTAACACTGCATACCAATGAAGCCAAAAATGTCTCTTTTGCAAAGTCTCAAAATTGTGTCAGTACTCTTTCAAGCCCTGCAGGGTAAGTGTGGACATCATTTGCAACTTCTACAGTGTATGCCACATTAACATTTTGGCACAAACTGTACTATGTTATTTGTCAATCAAATGATTGACTGATGGTGGTTTTTACAGAAGTGATTATCATTGTAAATGCACAATTTATTGTTCAATATAAATGCTGTCTTGTTCATGCTATGCCTATGGGAAGGTTAATCTATTACAGCTGGACCCTTTATAAAAGACACTGATGTAAGAAACAAATGAGTATAAAAGGCACCAGAGTGCCCACATTAAAACCGAGGTTGATAAGAAAATGCATACATGGTACATTGCTTATAAGAAACAACTCCTATAAAAAACAAGAATTGCTGTTCGATGCATGTTTTTTAACAAGAGGTTCAACTGTGGTGCACAAGGCGTGCACAGGTCCTTGAATACCCTTGAAAATCAAGTCTGTTTCCAAGGTCCTTAAAAACCTTGAATTTTGGACAAGTTTTTGGAAAACCTTGAATGTTTTTAATCCTAACTTTGAATTGGTATTTTTTATCATGAAAAGGGTTTTCATTACTGAACTTTTGCTTTTGTTCGAGTTCTGAAATGTGGCCAACAAACCGTGCCAATTTTAATACCTATTTAGCCGACTCTCGTTAGCAGCTGGCAGCATTTCGCTTGATGCGAGTCTTGGAGGTAGCGTTCACTGTACACATCGTGTCAATGACTGAAAACCTCACCGCCAGTGCTAGCGAAAGTAGTATCGGCTGCGAGCACAGTCGTCCCATCACTATCGCATGTCCATTGCCTCCATCCAACACAGCGTCAGCGTTTGTGCGTGGGCATTAACTCTTTCGTTACCGCGAGAAAATGGTTGTTTTTCATGCGTCTCGGAAAAGAAGTTTTGGCCAGTTTGAAAAGTACTCCAGCATTCGTTTCAGTATACTAAATTATGCATAATTAAAGGCTCTTCTAAAAAATATGATTTGTAGAGCAAAAAGAAATTGTGGAATGTGTAAAAATTATATAAGTAAGCAATTTTTCATTACCAAGTGATAAACAGTCATTAAAAACACTATATGGGCCAAAAAACTCAAAACAAGAAAAATTAAAAATTGGCACTTTAAAGATAAATGACCCAGAAATAGTATAAAAATAATAAATGTTCTACAAAATCTTCCAACTGACATAGACAAAAGAGATATGTACCAATGTACGGCTTCATTGCTCATGTCATGCAGTGAATCATTTCCTAGTATTGTGATATGTATTTTTTTTATGCAATAAATGTAAGACCTTCCGAGTGCACCGTTTCAAGATTTTTGATATTGAAAAAAAAATTTACCCCTTGAAGAAGGCCTTAAAAATTTTATATAGCCTTGAAAGTCCTTGCATATTCATGAATTTTTTTTTTTTTTCAGAACTTGCACAAACCCTGTACAGTATGTTGAATAGTACCTTCTTTACCCGATTTTTTTGTATATCTTTGTTTTTCATTTTAAGTACGTGTATGAGCTGACTGCAGTATCATACTTGTAAATTTTTATTATTTTTTAGGTTAGTGTTCTTTTTTTTTTTTTTTTTTTCAAAGTGCCAGTTTCAGTTCTCTACTACTTGCACATTTTCGTATGCCTATGTCACATACTTCGAACATATTTTCAGTACTTGTGTGTGAAAGGTTGCCAGTGAATATTTAAAAATAGTGCTGCATTCTTGCTATAGGTGTGTTGTAGTGTTGCTGATATCCTCTATCTTTGTTGTTTTAGTTAGCATAAATTAAGTGCTACTGATGAAAAAATAATGAGTGCTTTTTCATTGTTTTTTATGCCTTCTCATTATTTCACACAGTTGAAAGCAGTTAATTGTTTCTTTTACCATACTCTAAAGATACATTTTCTTTTATTTACGTTTATGCAAGATTTTTGCTCCCATGGCATTTCTTGAACCTGCTTGATCCAGATCTTCTTAAAGCTCTAAGAATCGGTCATTTAATATTTACAGTGAAAGAGCTGTCTGCCTTGCACGATCGTCACCTCAACCGGCCAACATTTGATGAGAGCTCACTTGAAGAAGATGAGATTGAGCAAACAACACATCAGCTGGCACAGGTTTGAGATTCACTCTCTTTGTTGCAGCCAAGTAATTATTCACAGTGATAAACTGACTGGAGGGGGTTGGGGGAGGTGTTCGGTGTGTTGTAGTCCACCATGAGGCTGATTTGACTCCATCCATCCCTCACTACCTCGCTGTCCTTTTCACCCAGAGTCAAACGCATACATTCAAAGACTCTGTTGACGTCATTGCAACTCAGACCCACCTTGATAGCCTAGCAGGCTGGGATGTTTGTACTGCTAAGCTTTAGGTTGCAGGTTCAATTCTTGGCCACAGCAGTTGCATTTCAATTGGGGCAAAATGCGATGACACCCATGTAGTTAGATTTAGGTGCAAGTTGTCAAAATTTATTCATAGTCTTGTACTGCTTTGAGCTTCATGATCATATATCTTGGTTGTGGCACAGAAAACACTAGAAATAATTGCAATGAAGGAGGTGAAGTTCAGTTAGTCTGTTTACTCGATAAATGTGTAGAGATGTGTTCTGCTCGCTCATTTACTTGTAAACTGAAGGAGTGCAAACTATGATGCTATTGAATTTTATTTGCTGTTAGATTCCTCTAGCTGAAGCAAGAAAAGTGCATATTGTGCAGCATGCCAGCTTATCCTCTTTCTCACAATACCATGATTTTGTCAAAATGTCAACCCCTCAATCCCCAAATGGATTTTCGGTGCATTACTGCCTAAATTTGACATCTGACAAATTTTTTATTCCAGTGCATTTACTATTCATCTTCCCAACTGTCTAAAGCACCTTTCTTTAGTCACCATATGAAAAGTAGAGTACTACTTCTTTTTTCGCTCTGTAGATTTACAACCACAGCTTTCTATAAATGGTAATCAAGGGGGAGAACTCCTCGGGGGGGAGAAGCAGCGTATGTGGATCGCATGACAACGGTATGACGGATTAGCAAGTGGGCATGACCTCTCCATGCCTTCTTGCTGAGAATCGGACCTTGTTAGCAACAGGAAAAAAAATCCTCGTCCGATGGGAGAAAAAGCGCAATTTCGGGCTGATGTTTGGAGTGCGTTGGCCACAGGTTCGGTGTCCACTCAGTAAAACTTATTGTTGGGATAGTTGGGTACTCGTCATATTGTCAGATATTTAGCGCAACTTTCACTCTCACAAACACTCGCACATCCACCCGAGTAACACACATGACACTCAATGCTCACTACCAACTGTTTATTGCTCCTAAATGACCTTTTTATATACGTACAGAAAAATTCGCAAAAGCAATAAATGGTGTTGGCGCTATGTACATCACACCCTGTATGCTGTCCACATGCGCAGCTCCGTTCATAGTTGCTTTTGCGCATTTTTCTGTAGGTATATAAGAAGGTCATTCAGGAGAAATAAACAGTTGGTAGTGAGCGCTGAGTGTCTTGTGTTTTACTCGGGTGGATGTGTGTTTGTGTCAGTGTCCTCAATGGTAGCAATAGCCTAGCTTAGCGGCGATGTCACTTCCCCTGATTGTGTGCTTGTGGGACACTACGTGTACTATGTCCCACATACTAGATATTATCTTTTTTTTTCTTTCAAATTTGGTTATTTTAATTAGCATTTTGACGTTGCCATTTTCTTAAGCCATATGAACCGAATGTCAGCAGTTTTTCTGAAACAACGACCTAACGAGAGAAAAAGAAAATGTAACACCTATTTGTAGTGTATTATTGATGAAAAGCAATATACAATGCATTTGAGCAAATTTTATAGAGGTTTAGTGGAGTGTTGCTTGCTCTCTCAGATTCATACTTCTCATGCAGAAGGCTGCACCTCATTATACATAATTTCAGCGCTATAACAGAAAATTTCTGCATCTATAATGACAAGCTAAATTGTCTACAGTGAACAAAAACCTCGGGCCTAGATGAATGTTGACTAATGTAAGATACAAGAGTTTTCCACATTATGCATATATTTTACTTGAAAAAATTTCTTATGTAAAAGTGTTAGTATATGCTCTCTGCAAAAGGTAGCAGTGCAAGTCTCTATAGCTTAATTCTGCACTTGGCCATTCCTCCCTGGCCCGCACGGTACTTTTATCATCAGAAGCCGTTGAAACGTGTGGTTGTACAAGCCACCAGAGTAGTCTGGTAACACTGGCTTCCCTCTTCATTCGCCTGATCCGTGTGAGCGGGGTACTTCTATGGGTTTTTCTCTCGGCTAGCTGACATGACTAAGCTCCACCTTTATCCCCCACAAATTTCTCGCTCATGTGAATACCACTGCAGCCACATTAATCAATAGTGACTGAAGAACTTGAACCCTTCTCTGCATTTTAGTGATGCTTAAGAATGAAATAATGTTGAGTACCTACATGTTTCATGTAGTTATGGTATTGCCAAGTGGATATGGTTGTGTTGCCAAGTGTCAAGTGGATATGGTGGTTGGCACAAGGCGATGTGCCAGCATGCCAACTCTTCCTTGTACTTTAAGGTATTGCAGAGCAATTTGTGTTCCTGATACCTGGGAATAACTAGGCTTCTTTCATAACCAGAATATGAAGGTCATGTAAAGAGGATATTATTTAATCACTTAAAATTTTTAAGCAGATTTATTGCCTTCAGTAAGCAAAAGAAAGTATTGATGATCATTGTGCCAGCATATCTGTGGGAGCTAAGTTTGGCATATATGTACCACTTTGGATTTACCTATGTGCTGTGCCTAATTATGACCACAGAAGTGCTCATTGTTTAGTTATTGTATGACTGTCTTGTATTACCGTCAGCTTCAAGTGCTTTCTTGATGTTCGACCTGATGTTTTGTAGGAAATTTTCGTGTTGTAGTAGTTAGAATTTAAATGGGCGAAACTTGCTTTTGACTGAAAACTATTTTGTAATACCATGTATTATAAACAGCTTTTTCTTCAGGGTTTTATTGTTTGTGATTAGTGTTTTTGTTTGCAGTACTTTAGAACAATGGCTCTGAGCATGACATTTTTGCCATGCCCCTGAACTGCTTGACCCAGAGAACTGTAATGGCTTAGTTAACAGCAAGTGCAAGAAACTTCATTATACATATTTTTTTTCTGTGTACATTGTATTTTAACTTATTTGTTTTCAGTCGTGTAACAACTAGCCGAGCTTTTAACCTTGCTGCATATGAGTACATAAATAACGCCATCATTGTTTGTGACTCATAGTTTCATCTTCACTAAGAGGTTTGAAGTTATGCTGCCAAGTGTGAGACTTCTGCTATGGTGTGCAAATTCTTTAGCTTAGCACAGTCATAAAGAGGTGAGGTAGCTTCCCACGATCAAGCTTCTAGTGTAAACATAATGGATGAAACAATGCCTGCTTAGGTCGTTTCCCCCTCTGGTTTGGCCATTGTTTCCACAAAATAGATTGCATCAGCTTTTCCAGTGAAAGAGGAAAACCTTTGAGTGAAAACCCCTTAAGAAGCTCAATACTTGCTTTATATCCTGCCTTTAAGAGGAAACCATTTGCTTTGGACTACTATGTCAATGCATAGCAACTTGGATGATAGTGTACAGATTATCAGATTAATTCTCAGAGAAGCACATGGCATTGTCAACTTGAAAATTTGAATTACTGCAATGCTAGCTATAGTTCATTTGCCCATGGCATGATCCCTCTATTCGCTAAGCTAACCAGCATGAAAAACAAAAATGCATGTACAACAGGATCGTTGTCTTTGTTAATTTCCCAAATGTTGCACCAACTTGCCCAGACAAAAGCTCTCCTAAACAACATTTCATAGCTTTCTCAGAGTTTTTCATTACATAAAAAGTTGTGGATGGCTGGGACATCTTGGAAGTCTTCAGAGTAATAACTTCTTCGAATCACTCAACTAGAACAGAGCTAAGTACAGTGCTTTTGATGGGAAAAAATTCTGTTCAACAGGAGCGAGTCACAAGCAGCCTGTTTCTGCCAGCCATATGACAGTCAAAGCTAAAGGTGTTAAATAATTTAGAGCATAGTTTCTGTGTAGGTTGAAATTGACTCTTTGGTTATGAAATGAAAGTTATCAGTTCGATGGCCTAAGTGCCTTCTGGAAATACGTCCTCAAGTGACTTATTCAGGCAAAATAGAAAGCTGGCTAAATAGGGTAGGTACTACAATTGGAATAATTGAATCCATGAAGACACAATGGGAAATGATAGGAGTCTCTCAGGGGCATCAGTCAATATGGACTAAGCATTGTTTGATTTTTTTTTTTTTTTTTGCTTCCCATTGCATGGAGATTGTCTCAAGAAACAGGCTGCATATTCATGGCCGCCAGCTGCACAAGGCTCTTCGAGGAGATAATTTAAAATGCCAAGTCACTCAAGAAGCTATGAGAAACCGCTTAAATTAAAGTGAATAAGAGACAACAAATAATAAAGTATATCTTTTTAATGTTGAAGAGGTCGAAGCTTGATGCCACAAACACCGAGTGTCGGATGTTGTTTAAGAAAAGGGTACGAAACTTTTGTGTTTAAGACATTCGAAGTGTGTGTGTGTGTGTGTGTGTGTGTGTGTGTGTGTGTGTGTGTGTGTGTGTGTGTGTGTGTGTGTGTGTGCGCGCATGCGTGCGTGTGTGCGTGTGTGTGCTCGCGTGCTTTTGGGTGAGGGAAGCATTTATGCATTAGTTATCTCCTTATTATCAAAGGAGTTCTTACTGATGAATATGTAGGCGATTACTGCTAGGCTTAGTGTGCACTGTTATGAGTAGTACTGTTTTCAAACTTTTTGGTTTTTTTGTGTGTGTGGCGGTTATTCTCTACAATGAATGATATCTGCAACACTTGTGCACTCTTTTTGCAGCTTTTTAGCCATTGCCAGCAACTGCTGTCTGTGATCCAGCAAGGAGTGCAACATGGTTCCAATGCCAAGGAGGCTCACTTGGCACAGAATGTGGTGCGCTCTGTGGCCAGTTCTCTTCAGTCTCTCAGCTCTAGTTTTCGTTCTTCTCAGACAACATACTGCAAGAGTGAGTCTCATGCTCTTTTACAGTATAATATAAATCTCTTTTTTTTTTTCATATATTAGAGCTTTCTGGAGCTGTGAGTTGTCATAATAAACTTTTCTAATGCAAAGTTGTTAGTGTAACAGGCTTAGCATGTGTCTAAAGTGTTTGCCTCTAAGAAAATGGCATGCACTAGATTTTTCTGCGTAATAAGTCAGTTCAAGCAAGTATAGTGATGTTTATTTGCAATAGCTTAGATCTGTTCATTTGACTGTGAATGGGTGCATGTATCAAGATTGCCTTTCAAAAACAGTAGAACTCTCAACTGACTGTGAATGACATCTCTTCAGGCTTGTTTTATATACTCAATAATTGAACCATTCCATTTAGACCTTTCTAGAGCTCTCACATATTTTTTTGCTTAGGGTCACTGCTAGATCAGTCCCTGGAAATTTCACGGATTATAAGCAGTAGTGCTTGCTTTAATTATACTTGGGTATGTGTGCGGTCCACAACTAATAAAGGGTAAATTACTATTGTTATCATCATCATTATCATGTTACTTCATGTCGACTGCAGGCTCAAGGAATGTTCAGTTCTGCAATTTGTTTCCAATTAGGGCTGCTTTCGACATCTGATTCTAGAGTGACCGCACTACTAGTGAAATGCAGGACACGCTTACCCAGCAGCAAAACAATTTTTTTTTCCTCTCTACCTATTATATTCTTTTTGGTGGTTTCGAGTAGAAATATTGACAAATCTAGGGTCCTAAATTACAGAAGTGGACCCTTCTGTAATTTTTTTTATTGTGAATTCACTGCAAAAAAAATAAACTGCAGCATTTTTGATGGTTAAATAACTGTAATTAGGACTGGGTAATACTTAGTCCTTTTTTTTTTCTTAATTTTTATAAGCACAGTTTCTTAGGGCAAGTATCAGTTTGCAACAGGCTGCTTTTTTACATGCAGATTTAGTGCGTACATCAGCGTAAAAAAGTTGTGCCAACAAAATTTATTGAACTTGAAGCCATGCCATGTCATAATTTGCAAGGTAATTGAAAAAAAAAATTTTTTTTTGAAAACAAACCGGGCAGCATTAGGGTTTATTTTATTTCTTATTATGTTTTAGTCATTTGTTTTTATTTTCTGATACATATTTCTTATGAGCACCTTATGGGCAGAGGCAAGCTTTGGGATAACAGATAGCATGATTGATTCCTAAAGAGTGAGTTATGATGGCTTTTAAGCTGTGTATTGATGACATTGTTTTTATTGACGAGTTGATTTATCTAAAATATGTATGACGATATAGGAGTTTAACTTGCTTTAATTTTACTTTAGATGAAGTTGTTAATATATAGTGCAATTATGTATAATGTGACATTGCCCATTCAAATTATTTCATCTTACTATTATTATAAATGCACACATGAATTTCTGTATACAATTAATAAGATCCATGGTTATACCTTTGTGTTAGTTTCATCAAGAGCTGTACATAAGAAATTTTATGTCATGGACAGTACAGAACTGTAAGGTCGTAATTATCATTTATAATTGTAAATTAATTATTATGGTATAATTGCAAACTTATTAGTGACATGCTGCATCAGAATATGGTCATAATTCTGATGTAGTGAAGAGGAATGCCCACTACTGCAGCGACATCGACACGTTGGCACGAGGCACGAGCTAAGACGGCCTGGTTGCTGCTGCGACGCTGCCCGTACATCCGGCTCTTGCTCTTGCTGCTTCTGTACCAACGCTGATACCGCTTTTGACCTTGCATTTACACTATATTTTGATGGAGAGTGCTGCGGTCTTCCCCAGTCCTGGAACTGCGTAGCCGAAAGCTGCCGTCCGTCATGCCTGACGACGCTGTCTTCACACCCCCACCGGCTTCGCCATGCAGGAGCTGTCCCGGTGCCCAGCTCTTGCGAGAACCCGACATCTTCAGCGGCACCGACGAGAAAGACGTTAAGGATTGGCTGGAATTTTATGAACGAGCCAGCACTACTAAAAAATGGGACGATCCCACAAAGCTTGGTACCGTGATGTTTTATTTAACGGATGTTGCCAAGCTGTGGTACAGAAACCATGAGGCGGATATTCCCACTTGGACTACCTTCAAAACCTGCATCGCAGATGTTTTTGGACGCCCTGGTGTGCGCAAACTTCACGCAGAACAACGCCTACGAGGCCGGTCCCAACAAACTGGTGAGACATTCACCAGCTACATAGAGGACATCCTCGACCTCTGCCGGCGTGTCGACCCGTCGATGGCAGAAACTGACAAGGTGCGACATATCATGAAAGGCATTTCCGACGACGCCTTTCAAATGCTGCTCTCCAAGAACCCTGTCACTGTCTCCGAGGTCATCGAGTTGTGTCAGAGTTTCGACGAGCTGCGACGACAGCGTCTTCTCACGCGACGCCCTGACGTCCCGGATGACACCCTCTCAAGCCTGGCCACCACATCTGACCTTCAGTCGCTGCTATCGCAGATCAAGGAGTTTGTTCGTGCTGAGGTCGCTCGTCAGCTATCGCTGCTATCAACAGCCGGCCAACCACCGTCACCTCTGCCAGCAAACATTCGCCAGGTCATCCAGGAGCAAGTTTGCGCGGCCCTGCCATCTGCCCGTGACACTTCACCATTGACGAGCCCTGTTGCCTGTGCCGAGGTAAATACACCTCTAAGCTATGCTGAAGTAGCGGCTCGACCACCTCTTCAGAATTTTACGTCGCTTCCCTCAGCCGTGCCGCTCCGACCCACTACTCGGTTCGCTCAGCCAAGGTCCGTCCAGAGTAGTGGACAATGGCGTACACTCGACAATCGCCCAATATGCTTTGCCTGTGGACTACCTGGCCACATAGCGCGATACTGCCGTCGGCGCGTCCCTGTCTACCGCCAGAGCTACGACCAGACCTTCGAACCTGCCCTTTATGTGCCACCGCGCCCTTCGTTCACAGGCTCCCAGCCCCCCGACCAGATGTCATCGTACGCCGACCACCGCCCTCCTGTTAACCGCCGCTCGCCATCGCCGATGCGTCGTCGACCTTCATCACCGGAGCGGGAAAACTAATTGCCGCAGTTCCAGAGGCAGGAACAGCGTCACCAGCGAAAAGACCAAGGCCTCTCACTTCACCAACGAATGTTCTAGACGTACATGTGGACGGCGTCGCTGCACTTGCTCTTGTCGACACTGGTGCAGCAGTTTCAGTGATCAGTGCTAGACTCTGCCGCTTGCTCAAAAAAGTTATGACGCCACTAGCAAGTATATCACTTCGTACAGCCAGCGCAGATCACGTCACGCCAGCCGCTGCCTGTACTGCTCGCATCGCGATTTATGGCCTAATTTATGTCGTTGAATTGCTAGTGTTGGATTCCTGCTCCCACGACCTCATTTTGGGCTGGGTTTTTCTCTCCACTAATAAGGCCGTCATCGACTGCTCTCGCGCTGAGGTGGCATTTGAAGTGTTTGACGACGCTCCATTATATGACGCTTATGAAACCGGGGACAAACTATTTGTTGCTGAAGACGTCATACCGCCGCACTCTTTTGCCCTTACCATGGTGTCCTGCAACTCTCTCGCCGAGTCTAGTGCCCTTTTCACGCCATCTGCTCTTTTCGTTCGTCGCAAGTGTTCGCCGCTACCTTGTGCCCTTCTAGAACTTCATGACGGAAGTCGCCGGAGTGACCTGTGCCTCTTCGCCGCAGACCTACGAGGCCAGACGTACTGAGCAGCTCCATCGCCGACACGTTAACCGTTTCGCAACGTGCTCAGCTTCTACGACTGCTGAACGAATTCCATTATTCCTTCGACTGCCAGCATACTCCCCTCGGCCGCACGTCAGCCGTGTGTCACCGCATCAACACGGGTACCAATGCGCCATTGCGTCAAAGACCCTATCGCGTGTCCGCAGCCGAGCGACAGGTTATCGATAAGCAAGTAGCTGATATGCTCAAGCGTGGCGTAATCCAGCCTACGAACAGCCCCTGGGCATCTCCAGTCGTTCTCGTTAAGAAGAAGGACGGGTCAATTCGCTTCTGTGTTGACTACCGTCGTCTTAACAAAATAACTCAAAAGGACGTTTACCCGTTACCGAGAATCGACGATGCCCTTGACTGCCTCCAAGGTGCGGAGTTCTTCTCTTCTATTGACTCACGGAGTGGCTACTGGCAAGTCCCTCTGGCACCTGAAGATCAGCCTAAGACGGCCTTTGTCACACCTGATGGCCTTTACGAATTCTGTGTCATGCCTTTTGGTCTTTGCAACGCACCCGCAACATTCGAGCGGATGATGGACAATCTTTTGCGTGGCCTGAAGTGGAAAACATGCCTGTGCTACTTAGATGACGTGATTATATTTTCACCGGATTTTCCAACACATCTCCACAGGCTAGATGAAGTGCTGCAGTGCCTAACTGATGCCAACCTTCAGCTCAACCTGAAGAAATGCCGCTTCGGCACAAGTTAGCTCACCATCCTCGGTCATGTTGTATCTTAAGAGGGTATTCTTCCAGACACTGCCAAGCTTCGGGCAGTTGCAGAGTTCCCTAAACCTTCGTCTCTGAAGGATCTGCGCAGCTTTCTTGGCCTGTGCTCGTATTTCTGCCGCTTTATTCGGAATTTCGTCATGATCACCGCCCCCTTGACTGAACTTCTACGTAGTGACTCAAAAAGTTACGCTTGGTCACCCGCCTGTGACGATGCTTTCGAAAAGTTGCGCCACCTGTTAACCTCGCCGCCAATCTTGCATCTTTTCGACCCGGCGGCTCCAACGGAGGTACACATTGATGCCAGCGGTGTTGGACTCGGCGCCGTGCTCGCGCAGCGCAAATCGGGATTCCAGGAGTACGTAGTCGCATACGCTAGCCGTACACTCACCAAAGCGGAGAACTATTCTGTGACAGAAAGAGTGTCTGGCAATTATATGGGCTCTAGGTAAATTTAGACCGTACCTATATGGCCGCCCTTTCGACGTAGTCACCGATCACCATGCGCTTTGTTGGTTATCCACGTTGAAGGACCCCTCCGGCCGTTGAGCTCGCTGGGCTTTGCGGTTGCAAGAGTTCGACATGCGTGTTGTCTACAGGTCTGGCCGACGTCATACTGATGCCGACGCTCTCTCACGCTCACCTATGTCCTCCGAAAGCTCTGCATGTTTATCTGCCGTGGACGAAATGGTTGCGTTCCCAAAAAACTGTGACATGGCGTCTGAGCAACACAAGGATGACTGGATCAGCTCTCTTCTGCGATTCCTTTCAGATCCGTCGACTTCTCCATCTTCTCGAACGTTGCGCCGTCAAGCGGCTCACTTTGACGTCCGGGATGGCCTTCTTTATCGCAGGAATTACAAGCCTAACGGCCGAAAGTGGTTACTAGTCATACCTCGCCATCTTCGTGCTGCAATATGTTCAGCTTTCCGCGCTTACCCTCAGTGCGCACATGCGGGCATCTTCAAAACATACGCTCGGCTTTCCTCCCGTTTTTATTGGCGAGGCATGTACACCTTTTTGCGCAAGTACATTCAGTCATGCCCACAGTGCCAACGACGGAAAGCTCTGCCTCATCATACCTCTGGTCCGATCCAGCCAATCCCTTGCCCAGCCAGGCCTTTTGACCGCATTGGGATCGATCTGTACGGGCCTCTTCTATTCACGGCTTCCGGAAACCGTTGGATTGTTGTCGCTGTCGACTATTTGACGCGATATGCAGAAACAGCCACTTTGCCTGCTGCCACAGCACGCGACGTATCATCTTTTCTCCTGCGGCACTTCATTCTCCGTCATGGCACACCGCGTGAACTTCTCAGCGACAGAGGACATGTATTCCTCTCTGAAGTCGTCAACGCACTCCTTGCCGAATGCCGTATCGTTCACCGGACTACCACCGCCTACCATCCGCAGACGAATGAATTGACGGAAAGATTCAACCGTACCCTAAGGGATATGATATCAAAGTATGTTGCCTCAGACCACTCCGACTGGGACCTCATTCTGCCGTTTGTGACATACGCCTACAATACTGCTCCACAGGCGACCACGGGCTTTTTACCATTTTTCCTGTTATATGGCCGAGACCCTTCCACCACACTAGATACCATTCTGCCCTACCACCCCGATTCCTCCAAGTCTACGCCCATCTCTGAAGCTGCCCGCCGCGCCGAGGAATGCCGTAAGCTCGCCCAGTCGTTCACAACCATCGACCAGTGGAGACAAAAATATCGGCGTGACGATAACCACCCGTACCCTAACTTTGTTCTGGACGCTCTTGTGTGGCTTTAAGTTCCTGCTGTGCCTACAGGCCTTTCCTCGAAGTTTTTTTCAAAATACCAGGGACCCTACCGCATTGTCTCACAGACTTCACCAGTTAACTACATCGTCGAACCCGTTACGCCATCCACAGACCAGCGCTTTCGGAGACGTGAAACTGTTCACGTACAGCGGCTGAAACCTTATTACGATCTGCTCGTACTCTGTTCACCGTGAGTCGCCAGGATGGCTCCTCTTTCGACGGGGGACGAAGTGTAGTGAAGAGGAATGCCCACTACTGCAGCGACATCGACACGTTGGCGCGAGGCACGAGCTAAGATGGCCTGGTTGCTGCTGCGACGCTGCCCATGCATCCGGCTAGCTCTTGCTGCTTCTGTACCGACGCTGATATCACTTTTGACCTTGCATTTACATTATACTGAATATAAGAGAGGATGCAAGTTTTATATTATCTACTAACCTGTGATACATTATTATTTGCAGTGAAATTCATCGCATTATTATAAAATATATGAACGAAATACTTTCATTCTTGCTCTTGCTTCTTTATTCTTCTTTTCATGCCTTATTTGTTGATAGCATATTATATTTTTCAACAACAAAGATGACAAAACAGTAATCTGGAATGCAATACATGAAAAACATCTTGCATTCAAGGGTCAAGATGCTACTTGAGCAACGCTAGTATTTTTCCCAAAATTGCATACATATATGTATTTTGTTTTTACTCGCTTCCACGAGTATGGTTTCTCTACTTTCATAAAAAATCGAGGCTCCAACTAAATTTGAAGTAGTTTAAAATTGCTTTTAAGGAATATAAAATGACTGTTGCAAACTATAAAAAGCTGTTGTCAAGAGTCCCCTGGAAATTGCCATCTGGCTTTTTGCTATTGCATTTTCATTAGGAGTTCACAAAAGCCACATGTTCATAATAACTATGAGTCCCGAGCTCTCATGATGGAAGAAATCATTTTAAAAAGCATATCTTTACCACATAGATGAACTTTCGTTTTTTAGTTTAGAATGTGTTTTTCTCGAGATGCAGTTGTGGACAACTTTGGATTGTACATCGTATTTTTGGTACTTCTATTGACCAGATCAGGATGAAAATTTTTCTACATGTTTCTTAACATTTGAACAGTGAAATTAGGTCCTTTAAAATATCATATCACTTATAACAATTATGAACCTAAAGTGAGCAATTAGAATTGGCTTAGCATTTGAAGACTTCTCACATGACAATTTTTCTGGTTCATTAAAATATCCTAAAGTCACTTTCCTGTTAGTTATTGATTTTACAGTTAATGTGAAGCAGCATAAGCCAATAATGGTTCATAACCATAAACATTTAGGGGCAGAAAGTGTGTCTAAAAAGAGTTATATTTTACTCATTGTCATGGTACAAAATGAAAACTATTCAATGTACTCTAAAGTTGATTACATGTTTGAAATCTGTATAAAAACCTATGAAAACAGCAAACATGTTATTGCCCTAGAGTGTAGATTAAAGGAACTTTTTCTTTTTGAGTAGCATCTTTCATAAAGCTTTATTCAATGATGATGGTGCTACTTGTATCACCTTGAAAGCATATTTTGCATTTAAGCAGCATGTTGCCTAAAACACTGGCATTGGTCAAACAGTGCTTTCTGTTTTGACATTTCTAATATGAATAAAGAAAAGAAGTTATACAATAGTTTCTTTTACTATATGCCCAGAGTAACAGCTTTGTAGTGTTCAATAATATCAATTTTGCTCTTCTGTTCACTTCTGTTCTCCAGGACTTCAATCAAGGGAGGAGCATTCGAACAAATTTTTCGACGTTCCATTTTATATGGAAGAGACGCAGCTTTCTCCTGAAAGATTTGGAGGAGATGTATGTATAATATTTTTGTGCAGCTGTGCAGCCTAATGCATTATAAATTTACAGGACATGAATATGCTGTTGGTTTCTAATATAATGATGCATATTTTGCACATAAAGTTTTCTAAGAATTTGGTGAAGTAGTTTTAAAAGCATGGCATGCTGATAGTATTTCAGCCTTGAAGCATTTTTTGAAACTGTTAGGAATCTTTACAACTTATTCATGGTTTTCTGCTAATGTAGTACTAGTCCAATATCACAACTGAGCTTGTCTGGAACCACACATGCAATGATCAAAGATTTTGTTTCAATTTTCAATCTAAAATCTGCCATTCATCATTAGAAACTATATTAGAGCATTTCATGAATTTTTTTCAGAAATGGTCTATTGGATATAGTTGGGGGTTGGATTGAATTTAGTGTAGTCATGGGGCTTTACTTAAGAGATGATTACAGAAAAGCAGCCTCTCTCTCTCTCTCCCCACCCTTTACTTTAACTTGTGAACATACACCTGAGCTACCACTTTGCTGCAGTTTCAGCTACAGAACTTTTTTCACTCTGCAGCATCAGCTTCAGATGGAAGACCAACTTTTTCTGGAAGACAACACAGAAATGGTGCAAATCCGAGAGCGAGAGATCAACAACATCTTGCGATCCATCACAGAACTGAACTTTATATTCAAAGACATTGCCAACATGGTAGCTGAACAGGTATGTCTGTGTGTTTATTAAGTCAAGATTGTTATAGGTTGAATTCACGGTCTTCTTTGCAAAACTTGGGGTTATTGTTGATAGCCAGCTTTCCTTCTTCTGTCTACAGAACTGTTACAAAAACAATTATTAGATGAAAAAAACCATAAACAGATTATTAGATGAAAGAAACCATAAACAGAGGTTGTATTGAAACACCGGCTCGACGCAACCCCTGTTTGCGGATTTTTTCCTCGGAAACTATATTAGGCTTTGGTTTGCTGGGATAGTTTGGCTTGAAAGTATAGAAAATTTGAGTGCTGTGCATAATTTCTCTTTCTGCATGGTAAAACTCTATGAAGTGTTTCATAGGAAAGGTGCAACTTGTGATTGAATGTCCAGGCTAGTGGCAAGGAGGTAAAATTTTGTTATGTAATGTCAAATGCTGAATGAACACTGACTGATAATCGGCACTATTCAACAACATTGCATTGAGGGGTGACCTACATCAAGTGCCAGCCCCACTGCGGTGGTCTAGTGGCTAAGGCACTCGGCTGCTGACCCGCAGGTTGCGGGATCGGATCCCGGCTGCGGCAGCTGCATTTTCTATGGAGGTGAAAATTCTGTAGGCCCGTTCGCTCAGGTTTGGGTGCACGTTAAAGAACCCCAGGTGGTCAAAATTTTCGGAGCCCTCCACTACGACATCTCTCATAATCGTATGCTGGTTTTGGAACGTTAAGCCCCACATACCAACCTACATTAAGTGCCACAGTGAAAAGGAATTGGTAATGTACATGTGAAGCTGTAGCCCTGTTAACACTGTGTGCAGCAAAAAAAACTACAGTGGTGCGCAAAGCAGTACTTATTTGTTATTGAAGGTGGGGCAGGCATTTCTCTTGACAGAAGCAACTCTGCTGTCGCAACAGCTTTGTTGAATCTAAGACCAGTTCTTTTTCTGTGTTGACTGCTGTGTGGCGTAGTCTGTTGGAGATAGCTTAACTACTCGCGAAATGGTGGCTGTGGTCTGACTGCCTTTAGGCAAAACTTTATGCAAGTAATTAGGCCTCTCGCTGATAACTTACCTTAACTGCTGCACTAGTCAATGTGTCCCCAAAATTCATTCTGCAACTCCCCTATGCCAAAGCCTTCATGAAAAAGTTTCCAGGGTTTCCTGATAAGTGACTTCTGAAGTTTTGCAACTATATTTATTCATGTTCCTTCTCATTGCTGATGTGTCTGGTGAGTATAAACTTATTGATCTACCTGATTACCATTCTGCATATGGGCTTGGGTCAGTCATTAAAAACACTTCCATGTGTAGTTTTATTATACTAACTAAACTTTTTCTAGTCGCTCAATACAGGCGTTTTACCAAGTCAGTAAAAAGGTTGGATGGCAACTCCCCTACCATATGTTTGCAAAAATTTACCAACTTCAGTAACTACTGCCCCATTTCATTTATGGCCCATGTTCTTGACTGTCAGTATAGATTGTATTCAAAAGGCCTTTCAATTTTATTTATAATATTCACTTTTATGTCTTGCAATACATGGCTTCAACAAATCATAGTGATGTGAAGAAGGAAGGAACAGGAGAGAATGGAAAGGCAGTGATGTTAATCATAGTCCTGTGAGACTTCGCTCGTATCTCATAAGAATAAGTTGTGTAGCATTATTTATTTATCGTCATGTTGATTGGATTTTTTTTGAGGCCTTCAAAAAACTCAATAAAGGGTGCCTTAAACTTACGATTCACATTAACATTAATCTGTTAATATGGATCTATTCTTTTCTAGTTAATTGGTCACAATCACTGCTTTGTCAGTTATTGCTAATGTCATAATTCCCCTATGTGCTCTATGTAACAGCTACAAAGACTACAGTAGACTCTCAGTAAATGGAAATGTGTTAAACTAAATTGCTGCTTATATGGAACAACTACTCTTGTTCATCTCTCAGTAAACGGAGCTCCTGTTAAACGGAACACATTTTCCTGGTCCCTTCAGGCTATATTTAATAATATTCTACTCTATTCTTTCATTTTCTTCCATTAGTCTTTGCTTTTTTTTCAGAACTTGAGATAGATTGCAGCAGAAAAAAATGTATTTGTGTATGAATAGCAGAGAGAGAAACTAAGGCAGAGGTGGAAGTTTTGCTCCAATTGCACCATCCTTCGTCAATCTTACTTGGTGCACATAAGTGGCTGTTTTCATTGGAAGTGTAAACTGCCAAATCTAGCTGATTCTTATCGTTGGCCGAGCAATAATGAGTGTTGGCTACACACAGGTTGCAACCACCCGCATCCATATCCAGTGCAGTTCGGTTGCACTGTATTTCGGTTCACTCGAGGTGCTTGCAAGTGCTCATCTCAGTGCTGTCAGCGGCGTGGTTTTCCAGAAAACGTGGTGGCACCAGCATAAGTAACTGTGAATTGAAGCCGTGCTGCTCAGCTCAGGACTATATAGTCAACCCTGGGCGATCCAGCAGGCCAAGGAAGCTGCTGAAAAACAGTCTCTTGGCTGAGCCCTAGGTGGGAACCCAGCCCGGTAACCTGCAGGAACTAAGTAAAGTTATTCACTCACTCGCTATGCGATACAGAGCGACTGAGATAGCGATAGAATGGACAGTAGTATCAGCTTTCTGTGATACATATGTGTGTGTCTTTACCATGATCTGATACTAAGGGAGAACTGACAGTTTCATTTAAATGCGGAATGCTCGCGTGGACTCGATCATCTCCTGGTTAGTTGCGTTCAGTGCGTCCCCAATCCTGTTCGCACAGTCTTTGCTAGGTCGCTCGCTGTACCATGCACGCGGCTTTGTCGTGTAAATTGCTCATTCCCTTTCAACTCCAGACGAAGCACAAATGAGGCAAGTAGCTTAATTTAATTATATGGGTTTAACAAACGTTCTGCAAGCAAAGTGCACTGCGATGATCTAGCGGTCATGAAAACAAGAGAAAAGTGTCGCTTATCCCTTGTTTTCTCAGACTTATTGCTCTGTCAGCTGTGATGGGAATACAAACACACATGCACACACACATATATCTTTGTGTATGAGTGTGGGGTAAGTCTACAGCTCATTAGTATTGATTATTTAGTAAAACACCATTAATTATTTGGGTTCACCGAAAAATTAATGATGTTTGACTCTAGAAAGCTGATCCAAAACTGACTTGGATTGCTCCAAAATACACCTGGGGTGCTCTGAAGCTGCTCCAAAAGTCCCCTTTTATCGCTTCCTATAGTTGCTTGAAAACAGTATTACTCCTGCTCCCTGAGCTACTCCAAAAGACGGAAGCCCACTTCCACCCCTGCTAAGGGCAGGATAGAATTTCCTGCTCATGCTGCGAAAAGGGTATGAGAGGTATGAGAGTATGTGCGTCTACTGCACTGGCTAGCCAGACCATAGGTGGCTCGTGCACCCAATTTCACAGGTAACTTGTGGCAAGTGCAAGGCTGTGTGAACAAAGAAGGCTGGTATTATTATTTGTGCTGCCTTCTTGGGCACTTAGGGGTGGAAATAACATTATCGTAAAGTTTCAGAGGCATGTAGTAGTTAGGCACAATTTTACTTCAGCATGTAGAAGTAGTTGGCAAGATCCAATACAGGGACCATAGAACGTGAAGAGCTCAAATTCAACTAGAATAGAAAAAAAGGAAAGGCATAAACTGATATGCAAGAAGCCGATTAATGAGCTAGCAATGAGAGAAGTGCAGGCATTTAGAGTATCTTCAGAATGGATTCCTGACTCTAAAACAAGTTAACCGACGTTAGCATCTACACAATGACCAATAATCTTACTACTATCATCAAAATGTGCAATAGAAGTCGTAGATACAGACGCTTGACAGGACACTGGCAAACTATCCCAGGAGACAATAAATCTCATTAAAAGGCAACAAACTGGAAAAACCTCAAATGCAATCGACAAAATAGAGCCAGTGGAGCTTTCGAAGATAATCAATAGGCGTAAGGTAGCCAACATCGGAAGGCATAACATATAGAGAACTGAGCAGGCTGTAAAAAGTGGCAGAAGCCTAAAAGCTGCAAAGGCAAACTTGTGCATAGGCAAAAATTGGATGTATACATTAAAAGACAAGGAAGGTAATGTCATGACCAATATAGGTAGGATAGTTGAGGTGGTGGAGGAGTTCTACAGAGATCTGTACAGAAGCCAAAACAACCAGGGCTGTGTTCCAATTCTTAGACAGCATTGTAGACATTCTATGCAGACGGCTTAGAAGACAGCACCGAGCCCATACTGTCCAAGAAACGGAACACGTCTGGATGGCTTTTACGTGACGAGGCGCAATCTCGCTTCGAAAAGAGAAAGCTAACATAAAAAAATCTAACCGTTGTATTTTCTGGCTAATTTTGTGTTGAAATCTAGAAAAAAATTTGATCTTACTTACATTGAGCGTCTAGAGAAGCGTCTGTGTGCATACGACCATTCCGGCGAGACGCAATCTATCTGACCGATTTGCTAATGCCGTCTTCACGTAGCTGTCTATTTTGCCACCTACATGAGAATTGGAATGGCACTTAAGATGGCCACCGTCCATTTAGCTGTTTATTTAGCCGTCTACAGCGAGTATTGGAACACCTCCCCCTCCCCCAGATGATATCGTAAAAATAAAAGAGGGCAAATAAAGACGGGACACAGGAAACCAGTAAATAGGATAGAACACTCCTGTCTACTTGTTTCCTGTGTCCCGTCTTTATTTGTGCTCTACTTTTATTTTTAGACATGCACCGACTAGCCCAGCAACGCATGATATCGTAAGAAACAATAATAGCCCAGAGGAATTCGACATCCTACCAGTAATGACAGGGTAAGTAATGAAATCCCTTAGGGAATGCAAAAAGGCAAATCCGCTGGTGAGGATAAGGTAACAGTGGAATTGCCATCATCCTAATACATAAGGAAGGAGACGTCAAGAACTTGAAAAATTACAGGCCGATCAGCTTACTGTCTATTCTCTACAAGCTATTTTTGAAAACAATAGCTAATAGAATTAGGACGACATTAGAATTCAATCAACCAAAAGACCAAGCAGGATTTCGTACAGGCTATATATTCATACTATCAATCAGGTGACAGAGAAATGCGCAGAATAGAACCAACCTTTATACATAGCCTTCACAGTATACAAGAAGGCGTTTGACTCAGTCGAAACATCTGTAGTGATTCAGGCACTACGAAATCAGGGCTTCGATGAACCCTACATAAACATACTGGAAGAAATTTACAGTGCATCCACAGCCATCAAAGTTCCTGTAAAGAAAGCGACAGAATCCCAGTAAAGAATGGTATAGGGCAGGGAGACACAATCTCTCCAATGTTATTACCATGTGCTTACAGGAGGTTTTCAGGGCCCTAGACTGAGAAGAGTTAGGGATAAGTGTTTATGGAGAGTACCTTAGTAACCTGCGCTTCGCCGTTGACATTGCCTTGATGAGTAACTCAGGGGACGAATTACAGCTCATGATTACTAAACTGGACACAGAAAGCGGAAAAGTAGGTCTGAAAATTATGCACAAAACTAAAGTAATGTGCAACAATCTCGGCAGAAAACAGCACTTTGTGATACGTGGAGAGGCGCTGGAAGTTGTTAAGGAATATTTTTACTTAGGGACAGGTAATAACTGCGGAGCAGAACCACGAGATTGAAGTAACTAGAACTTATAAGAATGGGGTGGAGCACATTTGGCAAGCACTCTCGAATCATGTCTGGTAGATTGCCACTATCCCTCAAGAGGAAGGTATAAAACAGTTGCATCATGCCAGTACTTACCTACAGAGCAAAAACCTGGAGGCTTACAAAGAGGATTCAGTCCTAAAAGAAGCGGAATATATGACATCTGAAAAAAAGCAAAGCAAAGACAAGAAAGGAACTATCACGCAAGCTCAAAGTGACAAAACCCTATAAATCGCTATGTGGCTAATAAGACGTGCAAGCTATCTGCGAGATATGAAACTTCCGCACCTGATAGTTCTTTGAAAGCATGGCTCATGCAATTATCACCTTCCAGTGACATATAAAAAGCTTCTATGATTTCTCTCGACCGTTGGTCTCTGTGGCAACGTGAAATTTCAGTTTTATCAAAATAAGGAGAGCACCCATTTCTGTGACAATGAGGACGACGCAGCTTAAATTGAGGACGACGCAGCGAACGATGGAAAGGAAAACAATATGTGTAACCTTAAGAGACAAGAAAAGAGCAGATAAGGTCATTGACGACCTTTTTGCAACAAAAAATTCTCTTCAAGTGATGAACCTTGTACGCAACGATTCGATCGGGTATGATTCGATCGGGATGTGGAGGATTTGTTTTACACTATCCCACATTAGGAATTGTTTAATGCGGTGAAGGAATGCATTGAAAGAAATGTGGAGACACTGTTTCAAGATAGAGCTGGGATTACTGTTGAGAACTTCATGTCGCCTTTAGAATTTTATTTATGCTCCACCGTCGTGAACTTTGGCAGTAAGTTGTATTTGCAAAAAACGTGAAATATGTATTGGTTCGTGCGCAGCACCGCTTCTATGCAATATCTTCCTGTCAGCTTTGGACACACGTTTGAAGAGTGCTTTTAATAGTGACAAGGTGCTTGCCATGAGTAGATATGTTGACTTTTTAGTGGTTCTTGGGAAGCTGGAGAGCATGGGGGTGAATGGCATTGATTTTAGTGCTTTTAGCGGCAATGCGCAGGAGATGTTAGAATCTTTTTCATTTGTTAGGACAGGGGTTGCTGTCACGCACGAGACTTCGGCAGAAGGGCGTTGCAGGTTTTAGATGTAAAGCTAACTTTGTTGCACTCGCATGTATGTTGCACTTATAATCTGTGCTCCTGCGAATCGTTACTGCTGTTTGATTCAGCTCGTTCAAAGATTGTGAAGTGTGCAATTGCCTCCATGTGCCTAGAATCCGCCCTCAAAAAGTCTTGCGTTCATGCAGCCCCCGACAGTGTTTATCAGCAAGTGCAACGGTTGCAGTCGTCAGGGTATTCTGACGCTATTCTGGTGGCTACTGCCGAGTCGCTACTCCAGAAGGTAAAATGCCAGGGCCGGGGGAAGAAAAGACACACACATGCAAATAACATAAGGCCTGAGGTGATTCCTTACATCCACAAAGTAGCGCATAACCTCAAGAAAGTTGCGAATAGGAACAATGTGCCGATCGTCTTTTCTGCACTGCGCAAGCTGTGTGCGTATATTCCTGATGAGGTTAAACTGAAAACAAACTGTGCAACCAAGTACACTAGACGTTATGTGCACTGTGCGGTGGGGGTGGTATATGAATTTCCATTGAGCTGTGGCAAATCAAACATCAGCCAAACGGGCAGGTGTATAAACCAGCGGGCCTGGGAGCATGAGTTGATGCTCTCGAACGATAAAAGCATCCATCTTTCTGCACACTGTGCAGTATGTGGTTGTGTGCATTTGTTTGATAAACTGAAGGTGCTGGGACGGAGTAGGAAAACGGTTGCACGTGAACTGTTAGAGGCGCTTCATACAAAATTGAAGGGCAATGATTGCATCAGCCAGACATCGGTGTGTGTGCGGGAGCGCGAATTTCAATTGCTATGCCGCAATATGCTTTAGTTTTTGATATGCTTTAGTTTTGATATGAGCTGCTTTGCCATGTGTGCAGCGGCGTTTGTGGCATATGTTCCACATTTCTCCCCACAATTCTTTCATAAATAAATCAGTGGGTAGTGAGCGTTCTATTCTGTGTACTTGTTTCCTGTGTCCCGTCTTCATTTGCGCTATACTTGTATTTTATTTTTATATCTATAAGTAGAAGTATTATCGCTGACGTCTAAAAATTTTATTGGCAATCTTCGAAGCTCTTCACGGCATCGTTGCAGCCCTTAGAAACAATAAATCAAAGCGTATGCCAACTTTTTTTTGTTGCATAGTAAGTTTTTATGTTTTCTGGTGATATGAATTTTGGATTATACGAATATTTTTGGTGACCACACCAGATTTGTATCAGCAGGTTTTACTCTACCTCATTTAAATCTCTAAAGCTCGACTATCTTGAGCCTCACTAATAAGAACCACAATTGACATATCTGAAAGACTATGTACAAGGTTCACCAGCAGAGGAAAAAAAAAGTGCCACTTTGGAAGACCTCGTCAAGAATGGCTCTTTTATTGAGTTTGCCTTTGCAACAACAAAAAACTACTGTTGGCAAGCCTGCCCATGGCAACACCATGGGTGCGACAGAGTTTGCATTCCTTAAGTAAAAGGTGTCGCTGAGATTGATGAACATTGCATGAAAGACAGCAGTGCATGTTCTGCCCAGACCCAATACCGTGCCGCTTCCCACACTTGTCAGTAACTGGCAAAGTGTGTTGTCAGTAGTACAAGCAACTAGAGTATTCTCTCAACTCTGGTCTCCCTCTCCACTTGCCTCGTTCATGCGGGGGGGGGGGGGAGATAACGTTGATTTGCTCCACTCTTATCCCCCATGTGAATGCCCCTTAAACTGAAACTCTTTTTTTTACTAGCAAACATTTTTCGTTCTGGTGCATTCCTATTTGTATATCAAAGTGGATCAATGTATGCACAGTGAAATTGCCTTGTAACTGAGCCACTTTTTGCTTCAAATGAGTGACACGTTTTATCTAATCTTGACAGGGAACTGTGTTGGATCGCATAGACTATAATCTGGACACAGTGCAGACACGGGTTCAGCAGGGTCTCCAACAGCTACAAAAGGCTGACACTTACCAGAAGAAGAATCATAAAATGATGTGCATCCTTGTCATGGCAGCATCCACTATCATCCTCATTATTCTGCTCTTTGCATTCAAGCTGTAGATTGAAACGGTGCTGTGCTTTCTTTTCATTGACCTGCAGGTGATATCCGAGACATTTCAGTGTGATGTAGGCCTTCATGAAGCACAACAATGTTTTTCTTTATCGGCTGTGCTGCGCTGCTTGGCAGCAAGGATGTTACCTGGTTCACAATCACCGTATTAATTATTGAAGGACATATATTGTGGTGTGACTGGTGTAAATGTTGACTGAGCACTTAAAGGAATGTAATTATGTGAAGCTGACAACTTTCATATTTACTTTCATTTCTTGTAAAGAATTGAAAAAAAAAAAAGCCTGTGATAGAAGGCACCCCTAACTGCTGGTGCTTACACTTTGGTGTGCTTGGCAATGCAAGTATTTTATGCTTGTCACCATAATTTTTTCATAACTGTTGCAACCATTTATGATAGATAGTCTTTGGTGAAGCAAGGGGTTGATTTTCTGTATTTACGTAAGGCTCTGTTTTTGCTGAGTTACTTTTGTATACATTCTCTTCAGCTTATGTACTCAGTATGGTTAAACTTGCACGTTTCATCACTATATCAATGAGAACTACCCGACAATGATGCCAAGGAAAGCCATTGTCTATTAGTTCCCATTAATATTGTGTCATATTATGTTTCAATATTATGTTTCAGCACTTACATTTAAGGTCAGTATGAGCTTATTTGAATTACATCTTATTTGCTTATTTGAATTACATTTAAGGTCAGCATGAGCCCATCTCTCTTTGGTGCCCGACTTGTAGGACGGCTATTTGTCTTACAACCACACAGCAAACTTAAAAAACAAAAAAGCTGCTGGGTTTACAATTTTATGGGAAAACAGATACGTACTGCATTTCCCCCCCAAAACTTGTGTCATCCTGTATCCTACTGGTTATACAGAAAAGTGAACTTAGAATAATTTTTAGAGGCCTCAAGTTTTTTGAGAAATCATATATTGACTATTATCAGTTCCTGTACTTACAAAGAGCTATTTTAGTACTACTATCGAAAGCTTATTGCATGTTGATCTTGTCTCTAAATAAATTATAGTGGTTGAAAATTAGGTTTTGATATTCATTTGGTTTCAACTTGTTCTTTTAAGCTGTAGAAGACTCCTGTATTGCAGTGTTCATATCCAAGTTTGTAGTTCTTAGTCGTTTTTGTTGCTTCTGTCACATTTATCTGTCTGGCATGTTCATTATGCTGTTGGCATTGAAATGATGCAGCATCAGCACTGTAAATATTCTGTATAAGTTTAGTGTCCAGTAAAGGATGCCGTGAAATATTCATCTTTATTTTTTAGTGTTGCATAAATGGTGCTTTGTGAGGGAGCATTTAAATACCCAGGTCCTTTAAGATTTATGCTTTGGTTTATTTAAATAATTTCTTGTATGGGATTTGTATTTCAAGTGTGATTCTATGCACCTATCAAAACAAGCATGTATCATAAGCAAAAAATGGAAATGCCAAAAGGGAAAAAAGAAACTGATCATAGCAGCTAATGCACGTAATTTTGTTGGAATAAAACCTGTGCTCACTGTTTAGCTTGTTTATAAGTATGTTGTGGGTAGTCCCAGATGCGAGCTTTGGAGCCCGAATTAAGCCACTGCATATAATGCATACAGAAATGAAAATGGAGTGACATGTTCTGGCATAATTTTAACTGGTTTGCATTTAAATTTATGTTAATGTCCTACATTTTTATATGTGCAGTTGACTTCTAATAATTCAACCATGATGAAACTGTAAAATTAACTCTATCATCTGGCTTGTTGAATTAAAAAAAGAAAAAGGCGAAAGTGTTCAAGCTTGCAGTCTCATTGTTTCATAATAATTTGTGATCACCTGCTATATTTTTTAAATAAATTCAAATAATGCAATGAAAAATTTGCTTCACAGCCTATTAGTTACTGTGCTTGGTGCAAGAGGCTGCCACATTGCCACCCACGCACTCACTATCTTACTCAAGGTTAGCCATGCATTTAAAAAAAGAAAAAGTGCTCAAGGTAACGACATGCACATGGTGTGTCTCCCGGCTCCTAGGAGATCCATTTTCCCTAAAGCAGGAAGGAATGGCACGTGCCCGCCATTCCTTCTTGTTTAGCTTCCAGTGCATTTTTTGCGACTAGAGAAGGAACAAAGCAATTACAGTGCCCAACAAATATCTCTAACACCGGTTGCACTTGACGGATTCTAAATATGTTTGTAGTGGTCGATTCGCGAGGTGCTCGAGTGAAGCCATTCAGTGGTTACTTGGAATGGTGTTGCAGGGTCTCTTTAATGCACGACAAGTTTTTTTATGCCAATATCATATTTTGCTAACCAGCCAGTCATTTGCTTTGCCATTTGCCATGTTTGGAAAATATGATTGCCTTAGTACTATTCTGTTCATGATAGATGTTCATACGAAATGTGTTGCAAATATGGGAGGTGGTTTAGGGACCAATTAAAAGCAGGAAATCTTGGTTCGTGATGACACTGTACTGTCAGAGGAAAGATTCTTGGAAGTCAAACAAAGCAAGGACCTTGACTTCTTTATATTATCATCCAAATTGAAGTAAGGAAATATGCCAAAAATTCAGTTGGCTGCTTTTAAGCAGTTGCAAGACGAATGACTGCATAGAATAGTGAGACTAATAAACTTTCACAGTAAACAAAGTAAAGTAAAATTAGGAGAATTCGGTGTCATGTTATTTGTTTAGACGTTAAATGACACTGAATAAAATGAAGCAGGAAGAGCAAAAGCTTCCAAGCAAGGTCAGTTTATGGTCATAGGTCCATCTCCTCTGTGTGACAATATTCTCAAATGTTCTGAATAACTTATTTTGCAAGGCTGTAAATGCTGAAAGGCTGTAAATGCTGATAGCTATGTTTAGTTCCCTTTTTACTCCTAATCATTACAGATTTCATAAGCGTATGTAAAGGTACCATAGTGTGTTTGCTAGCACAGTCTTTCTTGGTGTCTAAAAAGCGTAATGCATTGCAAAAAACTTTTCATTTGCTCTAGAATGCAAGAAATCAGCGAACTGTCTTTTCTCTTTGAAATATGGACTGGGTTTGTGCTTAGAAAAAATTATACTGTGTACACGGGCTCAGAAACAAATAAGGAAGTGTGTATATTAATCCTAAATGAAAGCGAAATTGTGGAAAACTGGTGAAATATGAACATAAGTTTGTGAAGGGAATGGCAGATAGTAATGATATGTTTGCCTGTGCTTGGTACTTCACTATTGATGCTTACTGGAAAACCTAGCCATGCATTTTGCTTCATAAGCTTTATGCAGCCAGTTGGCGTACTCTTGAGTTATCATCACTGCTATATGGTTATCATGTCCATAATAAAGCCTTTAAAAACTTGGCCATTCTAAAATAGCACCTAAGCAGAATCAACTACAGTAAAATATTTATCCTCGCGGGTCAAGATATCCCTAGAGCATTTTTATATTGTATAAAACTCTTGCTTCATATCTGAGCATGTTTAAATCTGTCTTGAATAAAGCTAATTTCTTATTCACGTTAACCGAGTTTGCCTGAATTAAAACATTCAACATAAACTAGTCACTAGCTGTAGAATAAAGACAGGGAATTTTGCAGGCTCATTTCTTTTTTTGACACACATTTAATAAAGAGCAGCAGAAAATTAAATCAAGGAAGGTGTAGGAGATGGTAATTGTAATGTTTTTTTTCCAGTTTTTTTCCCCGAGTGTATTGTGATTGATATGGATGTGAAGAAAGTAAAGCGGACAAAAAAACAACTTGCAGCCAGCAGGGACCAAACCTACAACCTCCGGATAATGTACCCTATTCTCTTATTAATTGAGCTACGACGGCGGTCATTTCCTCGTCCACGTATGCAAACCTGGGAGCGTTAGTCAGCGCCACTCGTAGCCATGATGGCAAGTGTGGAGCACACTCTTTGCTAGATGGCGTCACGTAGCATGCGAACCCTTAACGAGTGGGCAGCTGACCAATAAGCCAATAAATGTGATGAAACTTAGCGACTTGGCTTTCACACATTGTATCGCACTGACACCTCTTTTGCTCTATACTTTCCGTGCACATTGTATTTCGTATCGTATACTGATCGTGGATATAAAGTGCAACTTCACACTTTTATTTATTTTATTTTTTATGTCAGCACACTTTTATTCACTATTGATTTCCCCAATTTCCCCACTTGCGCTATCAATTCCAGAGTCAAATGCTTTGCCATCATATGTAGCCACAATAATAAATGTTGCATTTCTTTTTTCAAAAAGAGCTAAATGCAGAAACCGAAACTAGGCTCAATTTTACAAGAACTTAAAGCAGGTCTAAGTATCTTTCACTTTTAAAACAGTTGGAGTCAAGATGGGGCTATTCCTGATTGTAGCATGAACTCAAGAAAAGAAGTTTCTAATAAAAAAGTTAGCCAAATACAATGACTGTTTCAATAAAACTGAGCCACATTCATTAAACCATAACTGTGTCAACAGTCGTGACCAAAACAACCAACATGGTCTCATTCAATCTGTTTCAATTGCAGCACCTTGCAGCATAAAAGTGTAGCTGATGTTTGAGACGAAACGTTTTATGTTTGAGACAAAACTGGCTTACCTGTATTCATTGTCATGTGCTATTTTGCCTTAGTTTTTGTTTTACAGTTTGTTTCAGTACAGCACTTTCACGTAAGTTATTTTTCTTACCATGAGCATGTTAATATTTTGGATGTGGGCTATATATTGTATGTTGTATAAAATTTCAGTTGGAAGCCTGTGCTTGACTTATGTCACTAGTGTTGCTTTATCTGCAGTTGTGCTGACTATTTTCAAATCTCTGCAGAGATGCATTGTATGCATGTTGAAATCGACGCAGTGAAAAAACGAGGACGCAGGAAAAACAAATACACACCACTGCACCGTCTCGCAACTAACCTTGTAAGAAAGCACACTATAAGAAGGAAACCGAAAGTATCAAACTCCCCTGATCTGGTGGACCACAATCACAAAGCTTAGTCCTGAAAAGGCTAGCATGGTACAGAAATTTGATGTGGAGGAGAGGGTGAAAAATGTCAAGCAATGTAATTTAAAAGGCCTTTTTACTGCATCTTATACATGGGACATTTCTGAGAGAGATTTGTCATTAAAATTCGAGAGAGATCATAATACCCACATTCAGAATGGCTAAAGTATGGATGCTGATTACAAAATAAAGAACATTTACTTCGTTGGTATGTTCTGGCTGCATGGGGTGCTTGTGGAACAAAAGCTTGAGACCAATTACATCTGCGTGATTTGCCTAAACACGTTATCAAGGGCAAGAGACAAGAAATAAGTACGAGTGCTATTTAGCAAAAGGACACAACTTTCTTCCTTGTAAAGTACAAAACAGCTGCTGAAGTTCTGAACATGCTCGTTTGATGCCTTGCGAAATTTAGCAGCGACAAAAGAAGAAATGTTTGTATTCTTCTGCAGAGACGATCCTCATGGTAGATCGCAGGGCAGTAGGGTAAGAATATCGGCTCCAGAGTGTTTTGTGCAGGCTTGGTCACTCAAGAAAGGTCGGCTGGACACGTTTTTCAGGCCTTTGATTTAATCTGCAACCAGTGCCGAGTGTTGTTCTCACATAACAATGGGACGAAAAAATTGAGGCAGATTTGCAATAGTGGTGCCAAGCCTCAAAGAAATGATACTGAACAAACTTCCTTGTTTTTGCGTTATTAGTCTTTTTTCTTCCTCTTTTTCTTTTTATCTGTTATTTCTGTCTTCTTTCCTACAATTTATTTTTGTCTCTATTTTATATTTTATCTTATTTCTCTTTTTTCATCTTGCTCCCTCACTTTTTGATTCTGTTCCTTACTCATTTTTTCTATGTGACACCTTCTATCTCCTCACCTTTTTCCCTGTTCCTCACTCTCGCTTATCTTTCCAACCCCCTTGCACACTATACTATAAAAAGCTATGATAAATTTTGCTAGCGTGCCTGGATAGCCGAATGGTTCTTTTCAGATTGTCAGTACATGAATTTGAATGCCGTCTTGTTGAGAATTTTTTTTTTGCCAACATTTCGTTTTCTTTGCACTCATTCTCTAGTCCATCAGTCGTAATGCATTCCATGCTGGACGTATCAGTGCATGTGTTCTGGGAGCGAAGCATAGCAGGACAAAGATGAACAAGAGGCCAAAGAGAGCATGTGCCCGTTCATGGTGATAGTTATTTCTGTTCTCCCATCGCAAACCAATGCTCTGCTTAAACAGCTCCACTCTTAATATATGAAAAAGGTTGTCACATGCCCAATCTTTTACTATGTTCCAAATGATCTTCGAATTTGGTCTTAAGTGTGTGTACACCATCCGAGTATCAAAGCATTTTCTTGCGAAATAAAGGTATTTTGACCGTTTAGATCTATCCATCTATCTAGCTGCCTATGTCTGGGTGCTCGGGTGATCACCTCCTTTACTAGTACGTACCAAAACTTGCATATAAGAGTATGAGTGCAATAAAAACGTGACTGACGCGTCATGGCTTGAATGACATGAAATACCTGTCGCATAAATCATGAAACGCATTCCCATACACATCTGGTGCATACCCATGACCCATGAAATTTGGGCGTGTCCCACAGGTTACAAGCCCACAGAAAGGCTTTATTCTCAAGTATCGCTAAAACAGACATTGAAAATCTCATCAATATAACTTTAAAGAGCTTATGTCAAAAAAAATGCTGCCTGTTTCAGTGACAATGCCGGAGAGTAAAATATTTCTAGACCATACAGAATAAAAATCACAGTTAAAGCCAAAAGTGAACCCAGGCATTCTGTGAAGTAGCCAATTTTTCTACCCCAGAGCCACATCACTGCTTAAAGTTGCGTCCACCACTGTGGATCAGGGGCTAAGGCGCTCGCCTGCCGACCTGAAGTTCTGGAGTTTGACCCCGGCCACGGCAGTCACATATCTACAACTTGTTACAATGCAACACTCAGTGTTACTCAGTGTTACATCTCTACAACTTGTTACAATGCAACACTCAGTGTTATTGAGTGTTACAATGCAACACTTCGTAAGTTCAAATGACGACAATCAGTATGTGTGTCTTCGTATAAAGAAGAATGCTGTTTCGTTCACACTTATTGGTGGGTATATATCTCCATCAGCGCGATTTGATGGCGACAGGTTAAAAGACATTCTTATGAGGACCAATGGGCCTTGGATCATCACCGGTGACTTCAACGTCCATCACATGCTTTGGGGGAGCACTAGGATGAATGCCAGGGGCAGGAATACCGTTACATTTGCTTCCAACTGCAACATTTCCATCATGAACGATGGTACCCAAACATATTTTCGGGGTCTCGTGTATGGCAGTAGCCTTGACCTGACATTGGTGTCACAGTGCTTCTCTCACAAAGTTAAATGGTTTTGCGACATTGAGACCCATGGGAGTGATCACATACCCACCTACGTGAAGATCGATGGACTCGGCAAAACTTTCTCTTCCGGTGTTGTAATTGGCACTGACTGGTCATCACGTGTTGAAGACGCTTGCCAAGAAGGCCTTGCCTGCAGCCTGGAAAATACCATCGTGGAAGCTATGCAAGCGTCCAAATGTAAATTATCATTCTCGTCTAAAATGACACAGTTCGACATTGAACTGGAAAGATTAAAAGCTATGAGGAGGTGTGCTGAACGACGATACAAATGCACAAAATCAATTTACGACCTGAGGGAAGCAAGACGGCTCCAGAAAAAAAATTCAACGACGCATTAACAAGCTGGAAAGCGAACGCTGGAAAGCATTCTGTGAATCACTAGACCCTCATAAACTGCTGTCATATATCTGGAGAACTGTTCGTGGTCTTCGCTCGTCTCTGCAACAACGGCACCTTTTTAAAGCTTTGGCACTCCATGTAGAAAAACAGAACTCAAGGTGGCTGAAGAATTTTGCACGAGAGTTGCCGAGAATATCTTAAACGAGAGAATCGATGCCGTGATCGTTCCTGAGGCTCGATTACCAGAAACGGACATTCCATTCACCATGAAAGAACTGGAAGGTGCGTTAGTCGCTTCTAAGCACACGTCATCGCCAGGTCGTGATGGTATTACTTATAGTGCGTTGGGACATCTTGGACAAAAAGCCAGAAGAGAACTTTTAACCTGCTTCAATAACTCCTGGCTCAGCGGCAGTGTTCCCCGAGAATGGAAAATAAGTCGATTAATACCACTTTTGAAATCGAGAAAATCAGCATTGGACTTGACAGCGTATCGCCCTATTGCCCTCGCAAGCTGCCTCGAAAAAGTGATGGAAAGAATGGTTCTATTTCGTCTCGAGTGGTACTTGGAACGATACACCAACTACCCTTCCTTCCAATTGGGGTGCGTTATTATTTTTAATATTCATAAATGACTTACCTCGTCTTAATTATTCTTCTTCTTTACTTTACGCTGATGACATGACTCTCTTTTCTCATCATTTGGATTTAGCGACTCTTGTGTCAAGACTTCAAGCTGACCTTAACTGTCTTGTTAACTGGTGCAACTATAATAGATTATTGATTAATCCTTCCAAAACCTGTTTTATGCTTTTTCATTCACCAAACAAAAAAACTAGAATTAATTCCTCACCTTTTTGTGAACTCAGTAGTTATTCCATTAAGTGATCATATGTCATTTTTATGAGTTATAATGGACACACATCTGAAATTTCAGCAACATATCAATTCTGTTTGTAAAAAGATTTCATACGGTATCAGGGCATTAGTCAAGTCACGAATCTGTTTTAACGTCAAAACTCTGAAGGCATTGTATTATGCATTCATACACAGTCATCTTAGTTATTGCATTACATCATGGGGCAATTCATACTCAGTGCACATTTGGCCGTTGAAGGTATTGCAAAAAAAAAAGCAATGCGACTCATAACTTTCACTTCACGTCAAACGCCATCAAATGCGATTTTTCGCCAGCTTGACGTCTTACCCATCTCCCAAATGTACGTTTATAATGTGTGTGTTTTGTTTTTCAAAATTTTCCACCGCACCCTCACTACCGACATATTTCCTATTGTCTTGTTGAACAATTCTAATAAAACTATATTCGCGGTCGCCAATAACCTATTACCTAAAGTTTACACTAATTATGGAAAAATGAGCATTGTTTTTTCATCAATTCCATTATGGAATTCTTTATTACATGATATGAAAGACTTTATGTGCAATCATGTTTTTAAGACAGAATTTAAAGTCTCTATTAAATGTGTAATTGCTGCATTTTGTTAATTTTTGATATCTTGCTTTATTTTGTAAAAAAAAAGTTCGAAATGTTTTTGTGACTTGCTCTTTCGTTATTCGTATTTTAGCTTTTTCTTTGTATTAACATAGGAGGTCCCACCTGCAGTTTGCTACCTTGGGACCTCTTCCTTCATACTTACTCACAATGTACATTTCTGATGCTAATAAAGAAACATTGATTGATTGATTGCATGACAGGCTTCCGTCGGGGCCGCTCCTCCATCGACTGTGTCCTTGACTTATCTACATTTGTTCAGCAAGAAAAAAGTCGCAAGCGCATATCAGTGGCACACTCTCTTGACGTGAAGGGTGCATATAATGTAGCTCACGATTCCATCCTCACTTCTCTCGCAGCAATGGGCATTGGTGGACGATTGTTTCAATGGATAAAAGACTATATAACTGGCAGGAGTTTTTTTGTGCAAACAGACGAGGGTAAAACTACTGAACATTACACCTACTGTGGAGTACCTCAGGGAGGTGTTTTAAGCCCCACCTTGTTCAATAATGCCCTCATTGGCCTGGCGAAGGTTTTGCTAAAGTCGATGTGCCTATCCATATACGCCGATGATATTTGCCTCAGGAGTGCTGCAGTTACTCGCCCTCAGGTGCGTGCACGAATACAGCGGGCAGCAACCCTCACAGCAGCCTACCTTCAGAAACAAGGCCTGACTATATCAACTGTGAAGTGCGCGTTGATTGCGTTTACACACAAACCTATGCCGCCATACCCTGTTTACATCAATGGGCAGAGTGCCAAATTTGCAGGGACGCATCGTTTCCTGGGCATAATTATCGACAGAAGTCTTTCGTGGAGCCCACATTGTGCGTACTTGAAGAAGAGACTGCTATCTATTGTACATATAATGAAATTCATGTGCGGGAAAGCATGGGGAACTTTTGTGGCCCCCATGCTACAGTTGTACAGGGCCCTGTTTCTGGGTCTATTGCGATACAGCTTGCCGGTACTGACGAACACTTGCAAATCCAATACTCATTCTTTGGAGAGCTTGCAGGGTCAGGCACTGCGTATCTGCCTAATACTGCCCCGATGAGCTCCTACCTATGCCACAATCGTGCTTGCCAAGGACCATCCGGTCAGGACATATAGAGTTGTGAATTGCCTCAGAGCATACATTCAACATGCTAGCCGTGTCCCCGACCACCACTTGGTCCTTCTACCCTCCGAAAGACCACGTGCTACGTTTTCAGACATCATTCCATCAGGATATACGCCAGCTTCGAGAATTACACGTCCCTTGTGATGCCTCGACCAGCCGTAGGTAAATTTAGAAATTCCGGGTATCAAAAAGAAAAGCAATCACTCCAGAGTAGCATTGAAGCAAGCAACACTGCTATTATTATATGAGTTATACTTGGACTGAACGCAGATATACACTGATAGGTCGGTCTTGTCCAACAGCTCATCAGGTGCCGCTGTTATTCCGGCTACAGCAATGACAATCAAATTTAAGTTGTCCCATACGACTACGTCTATGACATCAGCGCTTGCTGCTATAAGAACCGCTTTACAATATCTCATTCAAGAACGTCCAGAAAAATGGGTCATATTCTGTGATTCGAAGGCAGCACTTTATAGTTTGCAGTTTGCCTTGCGTAAGAGAAATCATGAACAATTGGTACATGAAATAAGACATTGCCATCATCAAGCTTTAGCACGAGGCCATGACCAGCAGTCGAGGGCATTACCAAGGTGACCAGCAGTCGGAAGGTCATGAAGTTCATGTAGAACTTCCGAGCGAAGGTGTTTCGGAATGACAAGCAGCAGGGCCGGTCCATCTGGCTCAAAACTTTGGCGGTATAATACACCATCGTGGAGCACGAATGAACGATAGGACTGATCGGAAGATCGTGATTAGAGGCGCTCAATGCTAGCACGCAAGGACGCATCATGGCGTTGTTCGTCACTGATGCATATCATTTGTGAAAGGAAAAAGACGCAAGGCTCGGTGTCGGTGTCAGGCATAGAGCTCGACTCAGACCGGGTAGCGGGACAGGCAGTCTGCGTCCTGATGTAGGCGTTCGGACTAGTATGTTACCGTGTAGGTATACTCTTGCAGTCGCAGAGCCCAGCGCCAGAGCCGGCCAGTAGGATCCTTCAGTGACGAAAGCCAACATAGCGCGTGGTGGTCCGTTATTACAGAGAAATTCGTGCCATATAAATATGGGCGGAACTTCGTGACTCCCAAACAAGAGCAAGACAATCCCGCTATGTAATTGAATAGTTGCGCTCGGCAGCTGTGAGAAGGCGGCTAGTGTAGGGGATAACTCGGTCGTGTCCCCGCTGGTGTTGGGCTAGGACGGCTCCAATCCCGCGACCACTCGCATCGGTTCGGACTTCTGTCGGAGCGGACGGGTCAAAGTGGGCCAATATAGATGGAGTCGTGAGGAGGGTTATGAGTTGAGAAAAAGCGGCAGCTTGAGCGGAACCCCACGTAAAAGTCACGTCTTTCTTCAGAAGGTCGGTGAGTGGTCGAGCGATTGTTGCAAAATCTTCCACAAACCTTCTAAAATAGGAACAAAGTCCCACAAAGCTCCGGACATCCTTGACAGACTGGGGTACAGGAAAGCTCGTGACGGCACGAATTTTCTCTGGGTCAGGCTGCACACCTGATGCGTCGACAAGGTGGCCCAACACCGTAATTTGGCCCCGCCGCGGTGGTCTAGTGGCTAAGGTACTCGGCTGCTGACCCGCAGGTCGCGGGTTCGATTCCCGGCTACGGCGGCTACATTTCCGATGGAGGCGGAAATGTTGTAGGCCCGTGTACTCAGATTTGGGTGCACGTTAAAGAACCCCAGGTGGTCAAAATTTCCGGAGCCCTCCACTACGGCGTCTCTCATAATCAAATGGTGGTTTTGGGACGTTAAACTCCACAAATCAATCAATCAATCAACACCGTAATTTGCTGGCGGCCGAAGTGACGTTTCGACGAGTTTAGTTGAAGGCCAGCAGTGCGGAAGATGTTGAGAACTGCTGACAAACGCTGGAGGTGCGTCTCAAATGTAGGCGAATATACAAGGACATCATCCAGGTAGCACAGGCATGTTGACCACTTGTACCCTTGCAATAGTGAGTCCATCATACGCTCAAACGTGGCTGGGGCGTTGCATAGCCCAAACGGCACCACCTTGAATTGGTATAGGCCGTCAGGAGTTACAAACACAGTCTTTTCTTGGTCTTTCTCGTCCACCACAATCTGCCAATAGCCAGAACGTAGGTCAATTGAAGAAAAGTATCGCGCGCCATGAAAACAATCGAGGGCATCATCAATTCGGGGCAAAGGATAAACATCCTTTTTCGTGATTCGATTAAGATGGCGGTAATCATCGCAGAATCGCCACGTGTCATCTTTCTTTTTAACGAGCACAACGGGAGAT